CCCTGCATACAAGGGATAAATCCCACCTGGTCCAGGTGAATGATCTTTCTGATGTGAAGTTGGATTTGAATGGCTAGAATTTTGTTGAGGATTTCTGCTTCTATGTTCATCAGGGAAATTGGTCTGTAGTTCTCTTTCTCTGTTGCATCTTTTCCAAATTTAGGAATTAAGGTGATGCTGGCTTCATAGCAAGAATTTGGGAGGATTCCCTCCCTTTCAATTGTTTTGAACAACTTGAGAAAATTGGAGTTAGTTCTTTAAATGTCTGGTAGAATTCAGCAGTGAAGCCATCCGGTCCTGGCTTTTCTTTGTTGGGATGGTCTTTATTACTGACTCAATTTCTGACTCGGTTATGGGTCTGCTTAGGTTTTCTACGTCTTCATGGCTCAACTTAGGTAGGTTGCATGTGACCTGGAATCCATCCATATCTTCTAGGTTCCCCAGTTTGTTTGCATACAACTCTTTGTAGTAATTTCTGATGATTCTTTTTATTTCTGGGTGTTTGTTGTTACATTTCCTTTTTCATCTCTAATTTTATTGATTTGGTTCTCCTTTTTTTGGTTACTTAGGTCAATAGTGTGTCAATTTTATTTATTTTTCAAAAAACAGCTATTCCTTTGGCTGATCTTTTGTATTTTTTATTCAATTTTGTTGATTTCTTCTCTAATTTTAATTATTTCTTTTCTCCTACAAATTTTGGGTTTGGTTTGCTGTTGTTTTTCTAGATCCTTGAGATGCATTGATAGCTCATTTATTTGGTGCCTTTCCTATTTCTTAATGTAGGCACAAATTGCTATAAACTTTCTTCTTCACACTGCTTTTGCTCTATCCCATAAGTTTTGATATGTTGTCATCTTGTTTCCAAAAATTTTTTTATTTCTCTTTTGATTTCTTCTATGACCCACTGTTGATTCAGGAGCATGCTGTTCAATCTCCATGTGTTTGCGTATGCTCTAGGGATTCCTGAGTTGCTGATTTCCAGCTTCATTCCATTGTGGTCCAAGAAGATGCACAGTATTTCTATATTTTTGAATTTGCTGAGACTTGCTTTATGGTCTAGTATGTGGTCAGTCCTAGAGAAAGTTCCATGCACTGGTGAGAAGAATGTGTGTTCTACAACTGTAGGATGGAAAGTTCTGTAGATATCTGTTAGAACCATTTGGTCTATAGTGTCAATAAACTCTGCTGTTTCCTTGCTGATTTTCTGTCTGGTTGGTCTGTTACTGCTGAAACCAGGGTATTGAGATCCCCCATTACCACTGTACTTGAGTCTATATCTCCCTTTAGGTGCCTTGTCAGTTCTTTTAAATACCCAGGTGCCCTGTAGTTAGGTGCATTACGTTTACAATAGTCACATCTTCCTGTTGAATTGATCCCTAATCATTACATAGTGCCTTGTTTGTCTCTTTTAACAGTTTTTGTGTTAAAGTCTATTTTATCTGATATTAAGATGGCTACACCAGCTCTTTTTTGGTTTCTGTTGGCATGGAATATCTTTTTCCATCCTTTCACTTTCAGTCTGTGTGCATCTTTTTTGGTGAGATGTGCTTCCTGTAGGCAGAAAATAGATGAGTTTTGTTTTTTAATCCATTCAGCCAGTCTGTCTTTGAAGGTTTAAGGTTGAGGCCATTTACATGCAAGGTGACTATTGATAAGCAACGACTTTGCACTGCCATTTTTCCAAAAATATTCCTATTTTTTACTTTGAATTTCCTTTAAATTTTGGGAGGTGTTCCTCCTTTACCTTCTTTTGTAGTGATGACAATGTTTCTGTATTTCTTTGTGCAGCACATCCTTAAGTATCTTTTGTAGGGCTGGACAGTTGGTGACAAATGTTTTCAATTCCTGTTTGTTATGGGAGATCTTCATTTCACCTTCATTCATAAATGAGAGCTTTGCAGGGTATAATATTCTGGGTTGACAGTTTTTTTCTCTTCAGACTTGACTGTATCTCACCATTCTCTCCTAGCCTATAGGGTTTCTGATGAGAAATCTGCTGTGAGTCTAATCAGAGATGCTCTGAAAGTAATCTGGCATTTCTCTCGTGCACACCTTAGAATCTTTATGTTTGACTTTGGTGAGTTTGGTTACAATGTGTCATGGTGAAGACCTTTTCTGGTCATGTCTATTAGTTCTGTGTGCTTCCTGTACTTGGATGTCCCTTTCTTTCTCCAAATTAGGGAAGTTTTCTGTTGTTATTTCACAAATAAGGCCTTCTAATCCTCTCTTTCCACGCCTTCAGGAACTCCTAGAACCCGTATGTTGGGTCGTTTAATGGTATCCTGTAGATTCCCAACAGTGTTTTTGGTTTTCTAATTTCTTCTTGTGTTTGGTCTGACTGTATACTTTCCTGTGCTTTGTCTTCTAAGTCAGATATTCTTTCTTTTGCTTTACCAGTGCTGTTGTTAAGGCTCTCCACTGCATTTTTTATTTGTTCTATTTAATTCTTAATTTCATTTTGATTTCTCTTTAAGATCTCAATTTCGTGGGAGAGATTTTCTTTCATGTCCTGTACGGATTTCAGTAGTTAGTGCATTTGCTTCTGATTACTTCCATGTAATCTTATGATCAATTTTTGAATTCCACCTCTTGCATTTCTTCAGTCTCATCATCTTCACAATCTAGTATTGAAGTGTTGTGTTCTTTTGGGGACATCATGTTGTTTTTCTTATTCTTGTTTCTTAAATTAGTGCATTTATTATTCAGCATTTGTGGAGATACTCGTTGGTTTCTTTATTTTTTTGCTGTGGTGGCTTTTATCTTTGTGCTATGCCTCTGTAGATAAGTGGAGTGAATGTCTAGAGGCATGAGGTGGGTGTGGGCATGGAGCTCTGTTCAGTTCTCCAGGGTGAAGGGCATGTCTAAGGTGACACACTCAGTTTTGGCACAAGTCTTTTTTCTTTTTAATCAGAAGGGAGGTTTATTCTGCTCAGTTGCGCTCCTCTCCTCCAAGGAGACCAGTTCCTGAGCACTAACCGCAGTGGGTATAACAGTCGTCCACTCTGCCCCAAGGACCACACAAAGGGTCTGTGCAGTCTTCAGTGTAAGCTCAGATTCCCAACAATGTCCCTCTCCAGGTAGCCAGGATGCCCTGAGCATGTGGAGTGGTGACTGCCCAGAGTTCCAACCACACCATGAGTCCTCCCACCAGCCCCTAAGTTCTCCCCACCAGAGTCAGGAGTCTCCATTCAGCTGGTTGCTTGACGCAGACACGAGCTGGCTCAGAATTTTATTTTATTTATTTATTTATTTATTTGACAGGCAGAGTGGACAGTGAGAGAAACAGAGAGAAAGGTCTTCCTTTACCGTTGCTTCACCCTCCAATGGCCACTGCAGGTGGCACGCTGTGGCCATCGCACTGTGCTGATCCGAAGCCAGGAGCCAGGTGCTTCTCCTGGTCTCCCATGCAGGTGCAGGGCCCAAGCACTTGGGCCGTCCTCCACTGCACTCCCTGGCCACAGCAGAGAGCTGGCCTGGAAGAGGGGCAACCGGGACTAGAACCCCGTGTGCCGGCGCTGCAAGGCAGAGGATTAGCCTATTGAGCTGCGGCGCCGGCCTGGCTCAGATGTTACATCGCCCAAAGTGGCACCTGCTCTATCAGCTTGTTACAGGACACTGTTGTAAGGGGATCAGGGTGAAACATGTCCCTCTCTTTGTCTCCTCTAGTTTGGCAGGTACACTATCCTCTATGGGGCTCCAAGCCAGGTCCCCTCCGGGCTCTTCCTCAGCTTCATCACCAGTGGCTTAGGCTGCTGCAGTCTGGTCTCACCTCACTCTCCAATGCTGGTGTGGAGGCCCTCGCCTGCTGGGGTCCTGAGTTCTGGGCATCCGCACCCTCCCTGTAGGTCCACCATGTCCCTCTAATTTGCATAGTTCCCTCTGCTGTTTTCTCTCTAACTTTCCTGAGACTGCACTCTCTCCACTTTTTTAAAACTATCTTCTAGACTAGAGCAGTGAGCTCCCTCCCTAATCCACCATCTTGAAACTCTCTCCTGGTGTCATCCTAAAGAGACAACAGGGAGGACACAGCACAGAGCTGGCTACCTGTAGACCTCAGAAGAAACCAACTCTGAAACTACCTTCCCCTGGACTTCCAGCCGCCACAACCATGAGCAAGTAAGTCTGCTGCATGAGCTACCCACTCTGTGACACCTGTCACAGCAGCTTCAGACCAAAGCAGGCCCAGAATCGCTGGGAGGCAGCATTTAATAGGGCAGATTCCCAGCCTCTGACTCGGAGGTTCTGCATGGGCACCTGCCCATAAGGAGCCAGCCCCGGGCATCATGACGCAGGGGACTGCAGGTCAGCCCTGGGATGCACTGTGCCGGCACCAGCTTGGGCTCAGGAGCAACGCGGCTCTCAAGTTCCCCCAGCCCTGCTCAATCAGGAGCTACAGCTGAGCAGAACCCGCTGTCCACCCCAACCTGTAAGCTCACCCCACAGTAAGGCTGAGTTCTTCAGCATTTGTTACAGCCTCTACAAAGACGTTAGAGGAAAAACCAGAACGTCGCAATGTGCTTTAACCTCTTCTTCTTAAATGCCTGGAAAAGAAATTGTGCTATGAATATTTTTTAAAAATTTATTTATTTCTGGAAGGCAGAGTTAAAGAGAGAGAAAGGCAGATAGAGAGGTCTTCCATCCGCTGGTTCACCCCCCAAATGGCCGCAATGGCCAGAGCTGTGTTGATCTGAAGCCAGGAGCCAGGAGCTTCTTCTGGGTCTCCCACATGGGTGCAGGGGTCCAAGGACCTGGGCCATCTTCTACTGCTTTCCCAGGCCACAGCAGAGAGCTGGATTGGAAGTGGAGCAGCCGGGACTCAAACCAGTGCCCATATGGGATGCCGGCGCTTCAGGCAGCAGCTTTACCTGCTTCGCCACAGCGCTGGCCCTGCCTATGAATCTTACTAACACTCTGTAAAGGTAGTAATCGACTGTGTTTATAGGATACACTCTACTTTCCTGTAAAAATGCTATACAAATGATTACACAGAATAAGGCAAGTAAATACTTCAGGACTTTATTATATGATAATCTCATTGAAATCATGAAAACATGGCTGCAGTTAACACAGTCTTTATGCACCACCTTTGAAAAAGTAAACTACAAAGCCGACTGAAGTACTTCCCACAGTAAGCCCACTTTTTATTTTGTTTTCAATTTTTTCTTTTCTTCTTTTCTTTGTCTGGTTTCCTGACACCATCACAGAACGGAACGGAAAGTCCACAGAGAGAACAGCATCAAGTGGAAGCTTTGATTTTCCAGTCCTAGCAACTGCAGGGCGCCCCTTCCCGTGCCCTGCGTGCGCACAGAGAACCAGAGGTCGCGCCCCGCGAGCAGGAGCCACCAGGCTGAGGGCTGCAGGGGCAGCGGGGGCTCAGCCCCTGCCCTCCTCTAGCCCCACCATCCCACAAAGGCAAACGGCAGGGACGGAGAGGCCAGGGGCAGGGCTGGGGCCCAGGCCCCGGTCGCAGCCACGGCTGGTCCACAGGCACGGCGATTCCGAGGTCTCGGAGGGATGCGCCCCGAGGGCACGAGGCACTTAGGAGGGGGGGTGATCCTCCCCCCGGATGCTTCGATACTTGGCCATGTCCTCCGGAAATACTTTAGAAAGCTCTTGAATCAACAGGCTTTTAAATTTCTATGAAGAAAAATACACACTGTCAAAATATCTTCGCTTAGGACTCCTCATCCGAGTTACAGACCAGTGCACCCCTCCTCCCCAAGGAGCCCGCCCACTCAACAAGACCCCCTACAAGAACGGAAGCCAGGCTCCTTCCACTGGAGCTGAGGTTCCTGGCTGCCTGCTCACCTCGCCTCGCCTCGCCTCGCCTCCCACAAACGCTAACCGAGGTGAGCCCAGCCCAAGATCACACGCAATCGTGTTCAGGGCACGTGGGCAGCTATCTGAAACAGGAACACGCGTGTGAAAACAGCTTCTTTCCTCTTGGCCCAAGTGAGAAGCAGCAAGGACCTCTTGCAGAGAGCCAGCCACACAGAGGGAAATGACCTTTGTGGGCAGTGTGCACAACGGGACTTAGCCACGACTAACGCAAGCACCACGAGCTCACTGTGCCACAGCACTCCCTGGAAAGCTTTCTCTACTCCCAATGCCAGAGCTCCTACCCTGCTCTACCCCAGCTCAACACCTGCCAGCACCACAAACCTTGTTTCTCATGCGCCATCCCATAAACACACAGTACAGATGGAGACATGGAAACGTGCAACATTGCAAAGGGGCTCCTCCCTCCAACGCGACACAGATACTTAGGTTCAACTGCCTGGCCCACCAGGCAAACGTCAGCCACAGACTGCGGCGTGGGACCTTCCCAGACCTCTGATGTGCACACCACTGCCTGCCGGGGGGCCCTGCGCTTGGCGAAACCTGGTGGGACTGAAGCCATGCGCCTCGTGGAGCGACCACTGTGCTCATGGACAAAGGTGGTTTCTGCTGGACACAGCTCACTCGTCTTCCTCGGCCACACTGAAACCATCAACAGCTTCACAACGGGTGCCGCTGAAAAGCTCTCGGACACCCTGAAGGTGACGCTGAGTTCGACAACTGCTCAATCCCAAAGTGAACAGGAGAGATGAAGCCACAGGTGCCACACGGCCGACCTGGACAAAGCATCCTATGCAGGGCCTGCCAGCTGGCACCTACAGGACGGCCGGGCGGGGCCCTGGGAAGCCCTGCCACTGTGCAGGCCCTGCCTACACAGCAGACAACACTGAGCACACCTGTCTGTGCCAGCCTGGCCTGGGGACGTGAGCCGCTGGACACCAGCAGAACACCCAAGGTCCTGCTGATCCAGAAATAGGTGGCCACGGGGAAGATAGGACAGATAAAGAAAGGAAAACGGGGAGTCTGACCAGCACTGCCCAGCGAAGCAGCAGCAAAGGCTGGTCAGAGGCCTTTCACCCGAGGGTAAGACCAGCGGAGCCCAGGAGACAGCACACTGTGAGCCTAGGAGACAGCACACTGTGGCCTGGCTGGGCAAGTGGTGAGCTCTGGGCGGGAGAGCAGGCGAGCCCCCTGCTGCAGGCCGAGGTGCAAGTCAGCCTGGCGACGGGCCATGGAGATGGAAACAAAGCGAGAAAGCAGCAACCTGAGCCTCACGCGGGTCGAGTTTAAAAGGTGACGTCTTTCACACACAGAGTTCCTCAAGTCTCCTGAAGACCAAAATGGAGGAAGCTGTCTGGAGACAGGACAAGGGAGCGGGCAGGTCAGATGCGAGGGACGGACAATGGAGAAAGGCAAGAAAATAAGCCTTCCAGAACCATCTAATCAAGTAACCATGATTACAGAAAAGCTTTCAACCACAGGAATCAATAAAGAAATACAACAGAAACCACCAGTACACCCAATGCCAACCTGAGACGTCAAATAAACGGAAACAGCCAACGGACACTAAGTCACACAAATTAACCTGGATCTCCTTAAAAGCGAGGCTACCGTTGGTCGTGCTTCTGATGCTACCACACGGCCGACAACTGAGCTTCATTAATCAGCCAGGACAATTCAGGACTCTCGAGCGTGGGGTGTCATAAAGAAGGCGATGTCCGCCCAAGCGTGGGAAAGGACAAAGTCATTTGGCACAGCTGCCGAGCGTCTCTTCAATGCGAGTCTTACCTTCATCGTGTCAATCTTGCCTTTAACTTGTTCATTTTTGGCTAGAGCCCTCTCCAAGCACTCTTTGGTGTAGAGCTGGGGGTTTCGACCTTGATCTATGTATCTGGAAACATGAAATATCTCAATTAACACTCTCATGGCTGACACCTCCTCTCACAGTTTTCTGGAAACAACAGCAAAAAAACACGAAATACTCATAGGCTAGCTACCTATAACCTCACATGGGCCCACTCTGGTGAAACTGAGTGCAAGAACCAGGAAAATTAAGAGCCCTCAGGGTCGGCGCTGTGGTGCGATAGGCTAAGCCTCCACAGGCAGCACCGGAATCCCAAATGGGCACCGGTTCATGACCCAGCTGCTCCTCTCCCAATCCAGTTCTCTGCTTAAGGCCTGGGAAAGCAGTGGAAAATGGCCCAAGTGCTTGGGCCCCTGCACCCAACTGGGAGACCGGGAAGAAGCTCCTGGCTTCTGTTCGGCTCAGCTCTGGCCATTGCGGACATTTGGGGAATGAACCAGCAGATGGAAAACCTTTCTCTCTGTCTATCTCTCTGTCTGTAACTGTACCTCTTAAACAAATAAATAAACAGAGCCCTCATTTAGAGGCTGGCATTGTGGTACAGCAAGTTAAGCTGCAGCCTGCCATGCTGACATCCCATATGAGCATGGGTTCAAGTCCCAGCTGCTCCATTTCCAATCCAGCTCTCTGCTACTGTGCCAGGGAAAGCAGAGGATAATGGTCCAAGTACTTAGGTCCCTGCCACCCACGTGGGAGGGAGTTCCAGGCTCCTGGCTTTGACCCAGCCCAGGCCACCACAGCCACTTGGGTAGTGAACCAGCGATGAAGGATCTCTCTCTCTCTCTCTCTCCCTTTCTACTTTTTAAAGATTTTTAAAGATTTATTTATTTACTTATTCATTGGAAAGTCAGAGTTACAAAGAGAGGGAGAAACAGAGAGGTCTTCCATCCACTGGTTCACTCCCCAAATGGCCACAATGGTCAGGGCTGGGCTAGACTGAAGACAGGAGCCAGGAGTTTCATCTGGGTCTCCCACATGGGTGCAGGGGCTCAAGCACTTGGGCCATCCTCCACTGCTTTCCCAGAAACATGAGCAGGGAGCTGGATTGGAAGTGGAGCAGCCAGGACTCAAACCAGTGCCCACACACAATGCCAGTGCTGCAGACAGTGGCTTACCCTGCTGCACCACAGCAATGGCCCCTAAACAAAGCCCTCATTTAAGTACAGACCATCTAACCTCACGTTCTCCTGACGGCTTGCTTCACAAGCCGTTCCATTCCACGTGTGTTGGCATTTGTATCAGTCAACACGCCCTCACGCTACTGCTTTCTGATGCTCTCATACCCTGTAAGGGAAGGCAGCTCTCAACCAACAGAGAAACTAAACGCGGGCCACGTTCGGGGCCTCCACAGTCCGCACCCTGAGCCTGGGTGACACGGGAGGGCCCGGGGAGGACGTGGCTTCCCCTCCAGGGACCCCATCGCCTCGGAACCCTTGGTGCAGGAGCTTCCTGGGCTGCAGAGGGGAAAGCGCAGAGGAACCACAGGCAGACTTGGCCCAGCCCCCGGGGGCCCAGCACTGTTTCACAAGACAGTCCACTGCTTTAGAAGAGAGGTGCGAGGCTCGACACCACTCTACCCAGTCTAGCTGCGTGACCGCAGGACAACGCTCTCCAACTGTGTTTAACAAGGACACAGCTGCTTCCTGAAATGTTCAACACTTCTGCCCAAAACAGGCGCATTATCCTCAAGATTTCATAAAACACACTGCCTAGAGCAATAAAATAACTTTGTGTTACCAAAGGTAGGCCACTTGCCCACTCTGTACCCTACAGAAAACTAAAATTATGACTGAGCTAGAACTCAACTATTCATTATAAAAAAAAAATGTTAAACCACAAAGCAAAAAAAAAAAATCATTTCATGTTACATATTCTGTTAGATGACTGTAAATTGTATGAAAATTTGACAAAGAGCAAAATAAATACATCAAAAATTCAACAAATGCTATTTTATTCTGATGTTTTTGAAATGACATGATGAAAGAAGCAAAATGACAGTTAATTTTTGTCCATTTCTTGAGAAAAAAGCTGACAGGCTCAGAGGCCAGGGTTAATCCTCTGATCACCAAGGACCGGGCTCCTCAAAGGCGCAGAGCGAAATCCCCGGGGCAGGGCACCAGGGTGTGGCTCTACAGTGTCTGGGAAAGCTCCTGCCGACAGGGCCCCGGGGGCCCGGAGAGCCGTCCACACTGCGCACTGACCCCTCCACTGCGCACTGACCCCTCCACTGCGCACTGACCCCTCCACACTGCGCACTGACCCCTCCACTGCACACTGACCCCTCCACTGCACACTGACCCCTCCACACTGCGCACTGACCCCTCCACTGCACACTGACCCCTCCACTCTGGATACTGACCCCTCCACTGTAAATTGAGCCCTCTCCTGCGCAGTGACACCTCACCTGTATACAGACTTCTCCACTGCACACTGACCCCTCCACTGCGCACTGACCCCTCCACTGCACACTGACCCCTCCACTGCGCACTGACCCCTCCACTGCACACTGACCCCTCCACTGCGCACTGACCCCTCCACTGCGCACTGACCCCTCCACACTGCGCACTGACCCGGGTCTGCAGCGGAATCCAGCCGCGCCTGTGGGGACCGCGCGTGCACCCATCTGTCCCTTCGCCCACCCCCTCCTGTCCCTAAGCAATCCCTCCCCCGCCCCCGCCCCCTCCCAGGCCTCAGGGGTCCCGGCACCCGCCGCCCGGGAGATCAGGAGCGACACTTACTCGAAGACTTCCAGAGGCACGGTGATGTCGTGCAGCTGCTGCCTGCACTTGTCGATATCCTGTAAGCCAGTGACAATGAAATTCCTAGGGCCGGGCGGAAACGGGGGCTTCAGGCGCGCGCCCCACCCACGGCGGGCCCCTCGCTCAGCCCCGGCCGGCTGCGGGGCCCCACACCCTCCCCCGCCCACACCCGCCATGTGCGGCCCCCGGGGGGCACCGACCACCCCGAGACTCTGAGCTTCGTCTCACGCCCCTGCCTCGGGCGCGCCCGGAGCTGCAGGCCGCGGCCCAGCCGGCCTGGCGTCGCTCGCTCCCGCCGCAGCCTCGCCGGGCGCCCGGCTGGCCCCACGGCGCTGCAGCGGCCATCACCTCAGGGCGCAGCCTCCCCGCCACCCCAGCCCGGGTCCCACGCCACCCCAGCCCGGGTCCCCGGCGCGGCAGGTGTCTCCGCGCGCACGGCCACGGCTCCGGCCAGGTGGCCCAGCCGGCGCGCAGGCGGCCCGGGCCGGCCTCCCCGCGCCCCGGGCGCTGCTCACAGCTTCTGGTTGAGCCCGGCCTGGCTGCTTGGCTGGAAGTCGCTGACGATGATGCCGAGCTGCCGGATGTTCTCCACGAACTTCTCCAAGTGCTCCTCCAGGTGATCAAACTTCTCCGCCATCGCCCCGGCCCGACCGCCACTCCGCGCCCTCGGCCGGCACCGCCCCGCAGCGCCCGGCTCGCCCACTTCCTGCTTCCGCCCGAGTCCCCGCCACTTCCGTTTCCTCCGCGTCGAACGCGCGGCTGTCGGGGGCGGGGCCTGAGTGCTGGGGCGGGGCCGGCCGCCGTGGGCGGGGCAGGCCCGCCTAGATGGGGCGGGGCCTCGGGCGTAGGCGGGGCGGCCCGCTTGGTGCCTGGACTGCAGGTGCAGGCTGCGCCTCGCGTCCTGTGGGCTGTGTGGAGCCTGGAAGTGGGAAGCCGGCTTGGGCAGCCTAAATGAAGGCTTCAGTTCAAAAAGTAGTCAGTGGATAAGTAAGTGATCAAGAAATCGCATGCCCCAGAAATGTCCAGAAAGGAGTGAGGCGGAGAAAGAGGGTGAAAGCGAACACGGTGCCATTCGTTCTCCGGCTGCACTGGGAGCTGGGAAGATGAACCAGAGAGAAGGCTGGGGATTGAAAGAGGAATCCGGCAGACGCGCCCGCCCGGGGCAAGCCCCCTGCGTTGGCAGCCAGGGCGGGACAACAGTGAGGTTGCAATGAATCCTGGGACGCCCAAAATCCAGCCTGAGAAACACCAGGACAGAATGAATCCCAGACTTGGAGGAAACTAACCAGGGGGGGCTAGAGAGAGGCGTGAGCCCCGGAAGCTCCCGACGCTCCTTTCTGTAAATCACTGAGGAAGGGATTCAAACCGCACCAGAAGCTTCCAGAGGCCAGAGAAATAGGAAACAGCCCAGCTCGCTGCGAAAGGGGAGCGTAACTTGGATGTGAACAGACAAGGCCAGTGCAGGAGAAAATATAGGTCGCCGTCCCTCATGAGAATAGATGCAAAGATCCTAAATAAGATATTAGCAGATGGGGGTGGGTGTCAAGGCACCGTGGGTTATATGCTGCTTGGGATACCTGCAGCCAATATAGGAGTGCTGGTTCGATTCCCGGCTCCTCCACTTCTGACCCAGCTGCCTGCTAATGCATCCCGGGAGGCGGCAGGTGCTGGCTAACGTGCCCGGGCCCTTGCTACCCATGTGGGAGACCTGGGTGGAGTTCTGGGCTCCTGGATTCAGCTGTGAGGACGTCTGGGGGAAGGGCTCCGTCTGTCTGTCTTGGAGTGGGTTCTGCTGCCTCCTTTCACCCGGCATAGGCTCCAATTCTCAGAACGGGTTACACTGAGATCTTCTGCACTGCTGTGCCCGTCCCCCGGGTTGTCCCCTCCTGGGTCTTGGCTCCCTGCGTTCGTCGAGGTGGGCCCCTTGTGTCGGCTCCGTAAGGATGCTGTGATGGGGCCACAAACCCAGAGGCTGGCCCAGCACACGTACGACCTCAGGGTGCCTCACCCTGGAAGGCCAAGGTCGGGTGTCAGCTGTTGGGGTGTGGGCTGACCTCTTCTGCTCCAGGGCCCCCCTGGCTCCGGTGCTGCCTGAGACCCTGGTGTTTCCTGGTTTGCAGAAGCATCGCTCGGTCTCCACCTGCCTCTTCGCGTGGCTTTCTCCCTGGATTCATGTCTGTGTGCAAATTTCCCTTTTTATAAGCTCCGACTCATGCTGGGTTAGGGTTATTTTGGCTGGGTTACCTCCAAGAAGACCCTGTCTCCAAATAGGGTGGTGGGGTTTGGGGCTCCAACACGGCTCCACCGGTAGCTCCCAGCTCAGGAGCGCTGGCACTTGGCACACGCGCTGTGGCCACAGGACCAGGTCGTGATGAGTGTAAGTATGGGACGAGTCCCTACGCCCTCGTGATTTGAGGTTAATCAGCTCCAATCATCATTTCCATCAACTTCCCCCTCTATTGTCATCAGCCAGAGTGAGAAGAGAAATAGAAGGTCCCAAAGCCTTTTATTCTTTTTAAGATTTATTTATTTGAAAGGTAGACTTACAGACGAAGAGTGAGAAGCAAAGATCTTCCATTCTATGGTTCACTCCCTAAATGACTGGGACTGGGCCAGGCCAAAGCCAGGATCCCAGAACTCCTTCCAGGTCTTCCATGTGGGTGCAGGGGCCCAAGCACTTGGGCCACCTTCTGCTGCTCTCTCAGGTGCATTAGCAGGGAGCTGGACTGGAAGTGGAGCAGCCAGGACTCCAGGCGCCACTATGGGACACTGGTGTCTCAGGCGGTGGCTTAACCTGCTGTGCCACAGTGTTGTCACCAGGGAAGTCCGACTTTCAAAGCCATCGCCAGTGGAGCCACTGAGGTCCCCTGGGCACACAAGGCTTTCCAACCACTTATAAAGCACTCGTCTCCCAGTTATCCAAAACCACGGCTCCGCGGACTATTGTCCTCTCCTGAAACCAAAGCATTTCAAACCCACTTAAACCAGTGTTGAAATTCTCTGTCCACCCTCAAACAGCTAAGTGGTGCTACTTTTTCCTTTAGTTAGCATCCTAAACGCTGTCGGCTGGATTGGAGAAACACTCGACAATTTAAGCACTCCAGGGCTGGAATGTAAATGAAATTAAGCTGGAAAATCCCAGCAGGTCAGAAGGCATTGCTGCTAGGAAGCCGGGGGCAGCAGGCCGGCAGAGCAGGCTGACCGTGTGCCGGTCACCTTGTCTCCCCTGCGGCACTGGGACATTGCCGCCCTTGTAACGCTCGTGACCTTGGACTCCAGGCTGTTTCCCTGTTTTTTCTTCATTTTCATTCCCATCATTATTGCTCTGTCAGCACCCAGAGCCCTTCATGATGCATTTGAAACATGTTTTTGCCATCCAGTCTAATTTATTCTAAGAATCAGATTCAGCTTAAGTCTCAAAAAAATGCAGCCACCCTCAGAGAGGGCGGAACAGCTGCTTTCTGCTTTTCACTTTGT